TAAACAATCATATATCAGATTTCTACCCAAGGTATAACCTCTAAAATAGTTATTAGAGGCATCTTCTTTACCAGCAATAAATTATATTTTTTTTTAATGAATTTATTTATTTTTTAACTTCATCAATCATTTAATAATCCAAATCAATAAAAACATCTATTTGATAATAATCATCATCTTATTATGAATATATATACTGTAAATTCATTGTGTCCTTTTATTCTTTTTAATATAATTTCCAAAAGATATCTCCAATCTTTACACTTGCTTCTCCTAAATGAAGATGAATAGATAAATAATTAAAGGCGATCAAGCAGGACTTGCAATAGCTCTTGGCATATCATTAAGCCTCTTAAATATGGGTGGTCTAGCAAAAATGGGAACAGACTATTTTCAAATATTTTATTCTATGATATTTTTAATGGTTATCACATCTTTTTTTGCACATCTCTAATAGTTATAAGTGGAGAGAAAATTGACATGTTCAAAAAGTATAACTAGGTATAACTTAAAAAACTCATAATCAAACAATAAAAAATGAATTGGAAAGGGAAAAAGCATAAAATATTTTTAGAAAAAATTCAATATTTCCTACTGTACCTTTGGCATAATTATAAATGCCAATAAAGTGATTAATGCTATTTATTAGTATGATCAAATCATATATTCTAATTCTTTTCTCATAAGAGAATATAGGCTGTTAATCTAAGATTGAATCATTTATTAATTGATTTTGGTTGATCCACGATGAATTTAAGCTTAGAAGGCACTTAATAATAGTGGCTGTTGTTTCACTAAGTACTATTTTAACCAAGAGAACATATGTTCAATAGGATTCATATCAGTCTATAAGGTGGAATAAACACATGAGAAATTCTATCCTAAACACCTTTCACAACCTAATTTTTGTGAATAATAGTTGCATTATCCAAGATAACAGCAAATCTTTATTATTAGTAATGCCCATTTGCATACTTTAATAAATTTGGCAAAAGTATTTAAATACATAAGCTTTGCCAGTTTCTTCAATTATTTAAAGGCATAAACAATTATTATCTCCAATTGCTACAATTAAAAACAACAATAGCTTAATTCCTTCAAGTGATTACTTAAACTATCCTTCTAGATGCCATTACTGTTGGCTTTATTCTGAAATGTTCATAATTTAACATTCATCAATATATATCAGCGTTGATCCTAGTGAGATATATCCACACATAGATTCAATGTATTTGTACATTTCTAAATTTTTCATTTTTTTTAGAAATATTAAGTTGCTTTAAAGACGATACTCTGTAATTAATTTTTAATTATGTTATATAAATATGGAATTATTAAGAATATAATAACTATGATAGTATTACCTGATAAGTTGAATTTAAAAAATATATCAATATTATAATTCCTAATTTATTTAATTTTTGTAAATCTAATACTTATTCTTTAAGAACTCAAATGTTCGTTGAGTATATAATATTTTAAGTTATAATATTTATAATTAAAAAAAATAATTTATCTTCAGTTTGGAGATTATGGCTGAATAAAACTTAAATTTTAGGATATCTTTAATATTTTGCATTTGTATGTAGTTTAGAAAAAATGAGAATATTTTGTAGTAACATTAAATATTTAATTTTCTACTATCTAAACTAATTAATATAAGTATAATTGTACTTAATAAATGATGAAAGGAATTCCATATGAATAAGCAAGTGAAAGAAAAGAGTTTGTTTTCGAATTATATGATACAAATAGATACATATTGAGTAAATATTTTGAATAAATAGGATTAGCGTTTCATCAATTTACATTTGTTTCAAATAGATATTGAATGAGAAATTTATATAAAATTGAACATTTATATATTGAATTAATTAATATTTTAAAATTAAAAATGATTTTTCTAATCCATTAGATAAAGGATTGTTAATAATCCATAGTTTAGTGCTTAATAAATGATAAGAGAAGTACTGAATTATTATTAGATTCTATATTATTGTTTTGTATACAATTAAGAACACTTAAAACAGTAAAAACTAGATAAGTTTAGTTTAAATTTCATCATTAATATATTAAAGTTGAATAGGCTAAATATGCCAATATTATGAATAACATATATTCAGTATTAGGAACATTAAATACTGTAAAATTGCAAAAACTATTTACATAGATATTGGATTAGTCATTATATAGATGCAAATAAATAAAATAATATAAACATATTTAAATTAAACTGACTTCACATTCGCAATAGTGAGTGAATGCGGAAAATATTAATGAAAATAAAGTAAAATTCAATGGGGATTTATAAATTTTCCTATTTTTAATTAATAACTATAAGAATTCATTAATGTATGATAAGTAAAATAAGACACTCAAATATTTAGTAAAGAGTTTTGCTAGCAAAATTAAAAATTGCTCAACCTTAAGGAAAAATTGAACATACCAAGATAAATGGATGGAATCTTGGGTTTTTTTAGTGGGAGGAAATGGATTTTTTGATGATGAAGGCAATACTCTAGGAACTTGCATGAATGCGAACAATTATTTAAGGAAAAATCATCAAAAATATCATTTGGAAAAGAATGCTGCAATCAATTCTGTAGCCATGATTAAGTTAATTTGTAACATTAACTAGTTTGGATATTGGAAAATAAAGCATTGGCAAAAAGAATATTCTAATCAATTAGATTAATTGGTTAAATAAAAGATAATAGAATTAAAATTATTTACACTTAAACATAAATTATTATAATATATTCATGAGGGTTGGATTATTATAATAATTAAAATTGTTTGAATAAAGAAGTTTTAAATATTAATCTTTTTTAGTTAATATTTGATGCTTATAGTTATAATAAATATTAATGAATGAGTTTGAAACGTTTATTATAATATGATAAATTTTAGAAAAAACATATTTTTTATTTGATGATTTAGAAGTAAGGAAAACAAACCAAAAGTTTTAAATAAACTCTTAAATTATTTGATTATAGCTATTATAATTGATTGTATATTATTAATTTAATAAGCGATTAATTTACTTGAATTCAAGGATTTTCTCATAATTAAAAAATCAAATTGTTAAAGAATATAGAATTAAATGCATTCTTGATAAATATCATCAATTTGAAACAAAGGATAATCATTCTATATTTATAGTTTTATTAATTTTAATGATTATTAATTTGACAACAGATTAGTAAATAGGTTGCATATCATAGTCAAGGAATTTTTAATGGCAAAAATACTATTAGAGGTTTAACGGTTAACAATTTTTTTAATTTCAATTCACGGTTAGAATTTTAAAAATGATTAAAAGTTCTGGAAGTAGGTCTGATTCGGAGTAATAAGCAGTATATCATCCTAAATATGAAGCATATGAGAAAATCCAGGATTTAATTGAAAATATGATAAAGATGGTTCTTAAAGGTGCAATGGATGATCTGATTTAAAATTATTATACTTAAGAAGCAAATTGAAAGGAAATGTAACATATATTATATGTAATGTAACAAATTTATAATAAATTTTTTCGTACTTCATAGAGAAATATATATATTGTAATAATTAAATCCGAATTATTATCCATAATTAAGATTATTACTTGCAGAAAAGATTTCTTCAATAAAATAATTGAAATCATCAATGTATTATTTTATTCATGATTTTGAATCAGCATATGAAATTGCAATTTAAACTAAGAATCACAAAATGATTGGATAAGTTTTAGAATATGAAGGTAAATATTAAGAGGCTATTTAAGATTATAAAAAGATATCAGTCCAAGTTGTTCTTTTAATTGTGCGATGTTATAGAAAATCATATCAGATAAAAGTAATTTAGAAGTATAATAATCTGCAATTGATAGTTTTAATAATTTAGCATAATTTTAAAAATAGTATGTAATGATTGCTAAAAGCTTTAGACAGTTATTATTAAAACTTTAAAATTAATACCAATTAATAGATATAATTAAAGGATCATTAGAAGATGTCAACATTTGTGATTCTAGAATGATATAATCTTTTTATGCAGGTTCTAAATAATTTTAATTAAATAATCAATTTAATTAAATTGGTGAAAGTTACACCATATTAAAAAGTTATGATTCTAGAATAAATGGTTAAAAAATGATAGTTTAATCATTTATAAATGTTAATACTGAAAGTGAGACTAATAGTATCTGTGATTAATTATCAAATGAAGATAATATTCAATTGAGGATGTCAGTTCATTTTAATTTCCCTGTTAGAAAAGATATTGAATTTTTTTATCAAAATTTAACAAATAACATTATATCTAAAAATGATTACTATTTAGAAATAACATTAGATGAATTTGTTAAAAAAACTTAATTTTTGAAATATGAAAGTGCTGATTTATTCAATAATAATAATTTAGGAGAAAAGATTGATTAAGGAGGGAATATTGAAGTTTATGGTTTAATAATATAAAATTTATAAATGAAAATTATAGTAAATATATAAATTCTATTTTTAAGAAAAAGAATATATGATGATGAAAATTTCGAAATTTAAAATAAACTTTTAAAATATTTATAGCATGTGATATTACTATATCAAAGATTAAATATTTTTTAAGAATTAAACACTTAGAATTCAAGCTTGAAAAATTACATGGATAAATTAAAGTTTATAAAATTATCCTTATAAAAAACTCTACAATAATTATTAATACTTAAAAATTTGAAAAGAAATTGATAAAATTAAATATGTTTATAAATTATCCTTAGGACTTGCTACATTGCAGTTTGAAAAATAATTACTTCATCTAGATTTGAAACCTGATAATCTTTTAGTAGATTGAACTAAAAAAAATCCTGTATTAGCTAATTTTGGATTATCAAAATATTCTTAAACATCTTATATTTTAATACATGATCTTAAATAAATGACTATTAAATACATAGAGCCTGATTTAGTTTTTAATAATATTTAAAGTAGGAAAAATTATGTGTACTCTTATGATGTTTCTTTAATTTAATATTTTTCTGGAATCATACCATTTAGAGAACTTAAGTTTTAGTAAATTTAAGGGTATATATAATAGTTTTAAGAATATCATCAAACTTTATTTCAGAAATCAAAAATGATCTTATAAGAAATTTAATTCTAACTCGCATAATGTCAATAAAACAGAATTTCTTTTGTCTTGGTATTAAAAAGACTATTAAATAAAAAATCCGAATGTAAAATAATTAATTGAAATTTTATTTGATCAAATTAAAATTTAATAATATTAAAGAAAAATAACATATTTTTATACTTACTAAAAAATAATGAAAATATTTATCAAGTTAATAAATAGTTTCTAATCAATTAAATTAGATAATAAAGCTCTTTATAATTATTTCATAGTTTATTCTAAAGATTACAGTAAAGTCTTGCAAGAAATAATTTATAAATTGGGTAATCTTAAATAAGCATGATTATGTATTGAAACTTATAGATTTTGTAAATTAAAACTTAACAATCTTATTAAAATGAAATCAAAATTACTTTTAATCTTTGGTAGAAAAGGCATAAGAAATAATATAACATGGATAATTTTTTTGGTAAAATTTTTTCAAAGAAATTGCTATTACACTATAATAAATACATAAATATAAAATATGCTTATTATATTTACCATTAGAATAAATCTATGAAAAGAATGGAAAAATTAAATTTTTTGGCATATTCATAAAATCTTGAAATTAAGAACAAAAAGGAAGCAATATCTTTATAATAAAGAATTGACAAACTATTAAATTGATTATTAAAATTAATATAGTCATCGTAAATTATGTCTAAACCTTTAACTTAAACATTAATTGCTTAAAAAGCTAAGACAGAAGCTTTGTACAGCATTAAATCATTGAATTTATGGGGCAATGATCTTGATGATATCTCCATTATTGAAAGACTCACTAATGTTGAAGTTCTTCCCTTGTCATTAATAGGATTACTGCTCTTGCTGATATTGCAAAATGCAAGAATATAAAAGAACTGTATTTGAGAAAAAACAATATTTCAAGTATCACAGAATTGCAATTCCTATAACAATTACTTATAATTAAAAGTCTTATGGCTTCAAGGTATAATTTAATCATATATTTATAGAAAATTCAATTGCTGATCATCCTAATTTTAGAGATGCTGTAATTTGTAATTCTTCAACACTTGAAAAATTGGATGATGTTGTTTTTAGTCAACAAGATAGAGCAAATGCTTAATAAGAAATAACATATTGAAGTTATTAAACAAATCTCCAAATAATGGCGGAGGAAGATATTCAAATTAACGAGAATAATAAACAAATCAATAACGATAATCATTATAATAAATGCAACCATATCATTAGCCACAATAATAGTAACAATTATATCAATAGCAATAATAACAATTATAAAGAGAAAGAGAGTAATAATAACAATAATAATATTTGTAAAAATAACAATATCAATAATAAATTTAGTAATTAATAATAATCATAATTATTTCGATAATAATAAAAATTATAAAGACAAGTCATGAAATCAAATTATGTTGATGAAGGAAGAAATTCTAAAGTAATGAATGTACAAAAGACTATTGTAATAAGAAAATGGTAATAAATAGAGTTCTAAATTTAGTTAATGTAACAGAAATATATAGATTTATAGAGGAATGCATATAAAGTATAAATCTTTTTGAATATTTAAAAAAGGATTTTGGAAAGATTCATACCTAATTGAAGGTGTCTTAAAAATGAATAATTTTATCTGAATTATCACATGCAGAAACATAGAAGTAAAATTAAAATTTTTATAAATGCAAAATTAAATAGAAAAATGTGAACTAGATTATTTGAATCTACTATTGCTATGAAAACTTGAAATATGGATAAGAATATAATTTTGTTTTTGTTCTAAAGATTCTAAAGTTATATTAAGAACATAAAAATAAAGTGAGCAGTTAATAATACTTTCCTTAGAAATATATATTTCTAACATTCATAAAATATAGGCAATCTTTTATCTTAGCAAAAAAAGGCAATTTCAATTCACAAAGTTTAAAACTTATTTAATTATATTTTTTTCTAATTCTATTGAATTATTATAGTTTCTATTAATAATTTTTGGATTAGATTAAATAAGATATCTAATTGTTAAAAGAAACTGGATTGGTTATGAAGTTTTCGTCAACAAGTCTATATAGCAAACAATAAAAAATTATCTTACTAAAATATTTTTGGCTGAGATAAGTAGTATGATGAAATACTATATTAGATTTTAGCGCTTTATCTATAGGGTAAGCTGCAACAGAAAATAACGAAAATAATCAATAATATGAATTTCTTTATAGTTGGAAACATATTTATATATTTAGAATTAATAGTTTTGATCTAACCAAAGTGAATGGATGGCATTTGGAAAGAATGAGATATAGAACTAATAATATGATCAATAAATTAAAGAAGTATATTTGCCTGAAAAAGAGAATTTCCAAGAGTATATATAAGAGAAGATTAATTGAGATACAAGCAATCAAAAAGAATTTAATAAAGTTGTTATCCAATCTCTAAATACTGTTAATGAAACACATCATAAATTTGACATTGAATCATTGTCGAGTGTCATACAATCCAATCAATATAATACATAATCTAAATCTGAACTATTGAGAATTCTTTATGAGTATACATATATAATTATATATCATAGTCAAAATGATGATGATTTTTTTTGAAAGAGAATAATAATAGATCAAATAACCTCCTCCTCACCAAGTCAAGGCAATCTTATAAGAATAAATACCTTTAGACTTATAAGATATTTAATTAGATAATACTAAAACTTATTAGATTAAAAATGAATTATTGTCAATATATAAGAATTTCATATTAAATTAAATAATTATTAATCCAATTTATATAAAATCATGAGAAAATTCCTTACATTTAAGTGGAAATCCTAAGTACACAGTAGAGAATTTGGATTATCAATGAATATGCCTAAAATTAAGAAATAAGTTTAGAGTGTTTTTAAGAAAGTGGATGATGAAATTTTAATAAAAGAGAGAGGCAATTAAAGATATTTAAAGAATTTGATGTTGGTTAAGATGGCTATGTTTCATAAGTAGATTTATATAGTACAAAAATAATAATTTAAATACATTACACAACTAAAATAAAGAATGAAACATATTCAACTTAAGATGAGATACAATTACTTATTTAATATGTTGATCCAGAAAACAAAGGATTTGCTAATTTTACAGAGTTTGCATAAAAAATTAGAAATGGTATGACTATCTTGGATGAGAATGGTGCTCAATTAATTAATGTAAATACATAACCAAGTAAAACAACAATAATAGCTGCTACTTCATTTCTACTTGAATTATAAAGATCTATTAATGAATTTAAGAAACCATTTATTGCCTCAAAGAACAGATTTGATTATAAACCATCCACAAGATATGGAGCTACACCTAGTTTAAAAGATACTTTTGTTAATATAGCTCCTTTAGAAAGGAGTGGTCTATGGAAATCAGCTGAATCAAGATTTAATAAAAATAGGGAAGAGTATAAGAAGGAAGATAAGAAGTTAAAAGAATTTAGATAAGAGTAGAAATTGCAGAGAATTAGAAGTTATCAATAAGAGATAAGGGATAGGATTAAATCATAAGATGATAGACATAAATAAAAAGCAATTTTGAAATGATATATTTATTCATTACGCACTATGAATTATTAAAATAATATATATGATTTAAACAAGAGAGAGAGAAACATAAAAGAGAAAAAAAAGAATTAGAATGGGATTATTCATAATATCTCATAATTCAATCAATATCACTGATGTTATTATTCTTCTACTCCTGTCTTTTAAAGTTGTTTTAATAGCAGTGAAGCTTCAGGTATCTTTGAGTACTCGATGCAGAATCCTTGTATTTCAGTAAACATTCTTTTTGGATCTAAAATTTTTGATTTGATCAGTGTTTTGATGAATACAGCTACAAATCTCACATATCTGGATACCATCTATTACTTAGGCTGCTGTTTATAATAGTTTATACTTGCAATTCTTCACAATGTTGAATACATTTGGTCAAGTAAATATGGAGGAAGGCTTCAGGTAATTTAATGGAATTTGAAAGTTTGTTGACAACTTCAAAACTCTGAAGTGAAATCTTCATTTTAATCAAGCATTCAAAATATTCATGGATACTGATTCCACATTAATTGATAAGAACTAATAGAAAACTTGATAGATCTGGATTGTATTCAATAAGATTTGGAAGTTAATTAGGTGTTATTCCACTATCTAATACAAGTTTCTAATCTTAAAGAAGAAGATCAATAGTTTCTTATGCTTCTTTCTGAGACAATTTGCATTATTGTGCTTTAAGAAGATTCTCCTTTATTCTTACTAATGACACTTGGTCGTTTTGATTTTTAGAATCCATTTTTTAATTGTATTATATTAATATTTTCACTACTATTCCTTTTTCTTTTTTGCCAATTCAATTAAATGATATATCATTTTCTTACTTTACTATTCAATATTATATGCTTCATCTTTCAGTCTCATCATTTTATCCATTCAAATACTTAATCAATCTATCAAATGTCTTATCACCCAAATATGCATTAGCTGTCCATGAAACACCAACACGACCTATAAAATATAATATTCACAATTATATACAAGTTCCTATCAATTAAAACAAGGCACCTATTGATCTCTTATCAGCCATTTCATCAAAGACAATGACATGATTCAATCGATAATTGACACCATAACAAATAGAATTATCAGAAATAATCAAAGCTAATTATCCATTAGATGCCAACTTTAAGACATCTTCATAATAATCAATATCCAATTCAGATTACTAAATGTTGATATACATATAATATTACTTTTTCTGTAAAGGCTGTAATACCAGAGAAGAGATATAACATAATGTCATCAGGGATATTAAGTTGATAATTAATTCCCTCAAGTGAGAATGCCTTTCTGGCTCTATATTATTCTAAATAGAGAGGGTCATTTTAGTAACATATTTCTAAATAATAATAATTTACTACTTTATAATGTTCCAATGTATTTATTTTCAAGAAATCAGGAAATGCAATTGTCAATTTCATACCTTCTTACAATGCTTATATTTATTTAGATCTCTCATCTTTATTAACTATATCTGTTTCCTTGATCTGTATTTCTTTCTACAAATATTCATGTTATTTTAGATATTATTTGACATATTCTGAAGCAGGTGCACATTTCTTGAGTAATTTATGGAATTTGGATCTAATGAATTCTATTGGTTTATTTACAGCAATTAAACAACCACCTAAGAATCTATTAGCCATATTTCCACCCAATTATCGTAAATCTAATTTATGATATCATCGATTTCAATTGTATAAATATATTTAGATTTTGGTTTCTATTATTATTATAATTATTATAATTATTAAGTATTCTCTTCAGTCTAATTAGTTTCTCCTGTATCTTCAACTTCCTCATATACATATTCATATCCATATTCTCATTCTTCACCTTCTTATAATTATTATTCTTCTTCTTCTCCACCTTATTATTCAGTAATTTCTTATTATTAAACAACATCCTATTTTTCTGAACACACTTTCGTAAATATCTCATCATCAACTGTTAACAATATCTTCAATAATTCAAAACTTTTTCTTTATACAAATTCTTGTGTAATAATATCAAATGTTTCAAAATCTTCAATATTGACAATTCCAAATGCCTTCATTCTATCAGCTAAATCACAAGAAGCATTATAACATCTCTTCATAAATGGATTCTTCTCTAATCTATCCAATATTTCAGTTAATTGCTATTTATTTTATGCCTAATAATGTGGTAAGAATTTATGACCACTATGAGAAAAGACCTAACAACCAATATGGAATTGAGAATCATGAACAACTGGAATAATATTTACAAAGAAAATTAAATAATGGAATCATAATTTTTTCTTTTTCACAAATATGTATATCAATCAAGATTTCAATCTTTCGAATTCTGAACAAATATGTAATCATAGACAGAATTAATCTAATAGATTGAGGATTACCTTTTCAAATGACATCTATAGGTGAAATACCTTTCCTTTACTCCTCCTATACAATACTAAATTGAAGGAATTAGTATTTTTTTTCTTTATACTTCCATAAATATAGGAGCATAATAGCTAAATAGTATTCTTTAGATTCTATATCATTATGCATAAATTTACATCATATCTAGAATTTGTTATGGTTCTATGGTTTTCAAATTATCATTTATAATTTAAAACTAGTTCTATACGTAGTATCAATTAGAATAATAAAAAATTAACTAATTATTATTGAGAAGATCAGAATTTATAAGATTAATATATTTTGATTATATATATAGTTAAAGTCTTTGAAGATAATTACAGACTCAATTTTCATATTGACTAAGATTATAATTTATAAACATTTGGAAATTTGACCAATTTTTTTTTATTAAAAATACTGAAATAGAGTAGTAATTTCAGTAAAATTACTCTATATAGAACATTGTATTATAAATTTTGGCTACTGAAAAACTAATTGATTCTCTCTCTTGTTAATAATGAAGATTGTGAACATAAAGAATAAGGGAAAATCAATATTATGAATAAAATGTTTAGCTTTTATTCATGTTTACTTTTTATTAGCTAGATTAATATTTAATGCCAAAATATATTATGCAAAACAGTTCTGTAATCTTCTGAGAATATATGTTGTGTCCTATTCATATTAATAAAATAATAAAGGAATATTATCAATTTAATTACAATTTAGTGTTCTATAAAAAATAGAATCAAAAAGAACAGTGAAATATTTATAAAGTTTCTATGTATATCTCCTTAGTCCTAATATTAAACTAATTATGTAGACTAGTTTTTTTAATTCTATCAAAATGCTGTTCCAGATTTCAATCTTGTTGGATTTTTTCAAGAAATGCTCACCGCTTTAATTTATTAGCTAAATCTTTAAGTATAAAGAATTTACATTTTTTTTTCACACATTTAGAACTAGAGAATCTAATTAGTAGAAATGTTAACAAAAATAAAGAAAATCTGCTTTTAAATATATATATTTTTTGTGAATTTTTGGTCTAAATTTTCATCAGAATAATATTTTATTCAAATAAACAAGAGTATATATTTATCATCATTTTTAAATAGTAAGATAAATAATTGGAGCAGATGTTAACCTTTACAATGAAAAAATATTGTAGAAAAGAACATTATATCTAAATGTATCTGCTGTGAATTCAATCAAAATGCAAGTAAAATTTCTAATTTTTCTAATAATTAATTATTGTATCAAATTATGTAAAAATCAAAAAAATCTATAAAAGAAATACAGAAATTTTTATTTATTATTTTCTACTGCTTGTCTAATATTGTTTAAGAATTATATAATCTGTGACCTTAGAAGGTAATAAATTATATTCAATCATCCAAAGGTGGATCAATAGTCACAATATTCTCACTAATGCTTATAATAATGATCTCAGCTTGGGTACATTTAGAATCTATTTTTTTAAATATTTTAGAGAAGAAACAGGTAGAAAAGCAATTTTACAGTTAGAATTCTTCCACAAAATGCAGGTCTGACTAATAAATAGTAAAAGATAAAGTCAATTTCTAACCTAATAGAGCTTTTGTGTGCATAGAAGTAATCCAGAATTTCAATTTGTTTGCTGGACAATAAATGAAATTATTAACTATTATTTATTTGCTGGGCTATAATTTAATATCCCATTATATGTCTACAATGCTGATCATATTTACTAGATATATTTTGAATAAAGATTACTAAATAAACTTATTTCATACAGAAATTGCTTTTTTTTGATATTTAAGAAATTCATCCAGATTTTTAAACAGAAGTAAGTTAATTCGATCCTATATTCATTTATACTTTTAAGTATTGAAATAAATAGCTGAAATTTTGGCAGCTATCAGTGTAAAATTGTGCAATATTTATCTGAAATATTAGACTTGACAATAAGAATCATCAACAACTCATCAAAAAAATATAAACTATTAACATGAAAACTTATGGAAAATATATATTAATATCTAATTAAGAAAAATCATGAAAATTAGTTTTGTTAATGAGTTATTAAAAATAAAAAAATTTATATTTATATACCAGTTAATCTTAATCCCTGATAATATCATTATTAAATTTGATATATGTGTTATTGTATGATACTGCGTTTTCAAATATTAGTTAGAATATCGTTCGTATGATTTATGGTTTAGTAGGAGTATTAATACTACTATTTGATGCTTCACAGATCCTTTTTGATTACTTAAATTAGGTTATATAAATGTTTTATTTATATAAATTTAGTAGAATAATTTAGAAAGCCCGTTTCTTTAATTTATATCATATTAGGAATTTTCTAATCTGCTTTTACCTTTTTATCCATAAATATTCCTTCCTTTATGAATCAACTAAATTGAGGAGGTGGTCAGAGATTCGGAAATGAATAGTTAATTTAGGAGAGAATAAATAGAAAAACCAATGATGAAGTTAATTTATGTAATTTTAGGACTTTAAGCATATAGAGTATAGAGTAGAATTTCTAAAATATTTATAGAGTTAATGCAACAATAGTTATTGATATTAAACAAAAGAACTCATGAATGGAAGAGTCTAGAAAATTAGAGAAGATTTTAATTTTTATTAGTGGAAGATTAAGTAGTAACTTAAACAGTCAAAAAAAGCAATAAAGCTCATCATTCAATCATAACATAGAAAAATAAAAGTTTAAAACTATTATTATAGGAGAAGATAGAAGTCGAATAATTAAATTTATGTATGAGATTAATACATTAAAAAAATGTTGTAGATAGCTAATATCAGTAATTATCCAAATATTATTAGGGGGAGGATACATAATTCTATTATTGTTAAAAATTTAATATAATTTATTTTAATTCTGGTCATTAAACTAAAAGTTAAATTTTTTAATTTTTAGTAATTATAAATCAACCTTAAGTCAGTATTTATTTGAGATATATAAAAATAAATACATAATGTAATTTAAAGAATATATTCGAAAGGAACATGAAAAATTACCCAATTTGATAAAAAGTAATAAGAGTCTCACTCGAGCAACAGAAAAATTGGGATATTTGTGAATGATCTAGCTGCAATAACAAGTTAGCATCTAGTAGTGTAAGTTGTAGAAATACTGATCAAAAATAGTTTGAAAAAATGCACTTTTTTAGAAATATGATTATCAAAACTAATCATTCTGGATATTTTTACATATACTAAAATTCGGTTAAATATAAAGGGAAATAAAAAAAACAGAATAAAATAAACGAGCAACTTAAACAAGCTACATTTAAATACTAAAGAGAGTCGATTTTCAAAAATTAATACAGTTTTAAATTATTTTATAAGAGATGTAAAAATATGAGAAAATAGATATTAAGAAATATAATAAAAAGACATGGGATATTAGGAAAAAAACAATTTATAGATACTAATAAGTCTTGTAATAAATAATTATTTAAAATTATGTGATTACATTTAACATAAATTTATTATTATAATAATTTTATAAAATGATAAAGAATATACTATAACTTTATCTTAAAAGAATTATCCATGTACGAGGATTTCTAATAAATAATCTTGAACAAATTTTAAATTCTGCAAGATTCGAATATAATTATTATCTACATTTCAATTCTATCACTAAATCTAAAACTTCATAAGCAGTCTGGATCATGAACTCCAATCATTATCATGAGCTATATTGTAATCTGACAGCATTCTCTAATTATTGTCAACATAGTAGAGTTAACTTTTTTTGGGTGTTTATTGCTCATTCCAAAATTGTGGAAAATCTTGAAAATTTTCTTTATTAACCATGAAGATTATTCAATATCTTGGAGAATATTTATAGGGAAATCTATTTTGGCTGAAAAATTCCTAATACTCTAAACAGCAAATATAAGATGATCATGCCTTTCTAGATCGAGAATACTAATAACCATAAATATCGTTTTGTGTTTAAACTCTCCCTTTTAGGAATAGATCAATAAAAATAAAGATTTTATTATTAAAATTGAGCAGGAGAAAGAATTTATTCCTTTAAAACTCCCAAGACACAGTCAAGGCTTAAATACTCATTTTACCTTCTCATTCATTTATTGGTATTATCATACTTTTATTAAAAAAATGATATTGATATTGA